AATTGACCCTTATGACTGATTTAGGGGTCCAGGGTCACACACACACACACACACACACACACACATATATATATATATATATATATATAAAATATAGTATATAAAGCTAATTAGTAATGCTAAATTAGTTTGAGATTTGGGACATTTTAAATACAATTTAAAATCTTGATTTGAGGGATTTGTTGTTTTTCAATATATAAACATTAAAAAAATGCATCAGTATTATACAATATATTATTTATCCAAATTTAAGCCATCCCTCAGTAAACTACTGTAGTTTGGGACCAAATGTTGGTTTAGTTGCCAATAAACATATTTACCGTAAATTAAATATTAATATTTGTTTGTTCATTATTTTTCCGTAAATGTGGTAATGGAGTTGAATGGTTGAGCTTGACAAATGCAGTTAACATTACAATTTGTGTAAAAAATAGAAAGTGATTACAATGAGATAAGCACTTGTCTACCCAACATTGTGTAGGTCCAAATGAAGTTACTTGTATTGGTGGAAATCATTAAGTCGCACTCGCAGTGTTGCACTCAAAATGTAGGACAAAGCTAAATATTGCATTTTATAGGGTAATATTAATTAACATTTTGGTATAGATATTTGGGCAATACAATTACAAGTGTTTTTAAAGGAGATTATTTATTTATTTTTGTTTTCAGGACATAGTTACAAAAATAATCTAATGAAGAGCTGTGTAACTACAGTTACTTTGTTCAGCTTTGATCAACTTAGTTGTTCAACACAAAGACGGCAAGGCATGCTGATATGACATAAGGCGACTGGAGATCTGTGTAGGCAATTTACAATCTGTGAGTTACAATCCTGAGATCTATTGATCAAAAAAAAAAAAAAACATTATCATGTACAAAAGACACTCAACCAAACGCTTAGTTTATGGCATGGAAGTCCTGGGTTTACAGGTTCATTGTTTGAATTTCCCAAGGTGTTCTCTTGAGATGATGAGCCTTTGGATTTGTGCAGTCCCTTCATAAATCTGTGGATGCAGACAATAAGACATTAGTCACATTTCAGAATCTTTACCAATTCAAATAAACAAAGTTGGGTCTACAATCCTTACCTGGTAAATCTTAGCATCTCTCATCAGCTTCTCCACAGGATATTCACTATTGAAACCATTCCCACCAAAGATCTGGACGGCATCAGTGGCACACTGATTTGCAATGTCTCCAGCAAAGGCCTTAGCGATCGAGGCATAGTAGGTGTTCCTGCGGCCCTGATCCACTTCCCAGGCTGCTCTCTGATAGGCCATTCTGGCAAGTTCAACTTTCATGGCCATTTCAGCCAGAAGGAATGACACAGCCTGGTGCTGGGGTCACAAAAAAAACAGTCTGATTACAGTCTTATTAACCTCATGATATCAGTCTGGCTTATCAAACATGTTGATTGAAACAGACACCTACCTCTGCAATAAACTTGCCAAAAGTCTTTCTTTCCAAAGCATACTTTGTGGCCTCTTCCAGTGCTCTCTGTGCAAGTCCTGTGGCACCTGCAGCCACCTGAAAAACATCAAGAGGTTATTTATATAGTACCATGAAGAATTTGTTAGCAATAATAACTGCAAAAGAACACTTACTGGTGGTCTAGTCTTGTCAAATGCACCCATGGCAATCTTGAAGCCGGTTCCTTCTCCAATCAAAACATTCTCCTTCGGGATTCTTACATCCTCAAACGTGATGCCCCTGGTGTCTGAGCATCTCTGGCCCATGTTCAATTCCTGTTGAACAAAAGAATGTAGACATAAGCAAATTGTGCAGAATCTCTTTAGTGTAATTAATATAAGTGTATAAGTATTATCTGAGTGCATCAGACTGCAGTTGTCAGCAGCTTGTACCTTTCTGCCAGGCTGGACTCCTGGGGTGTCAGCTTCAACAATAAAGCCTGTGAAAGCCCTGCTAGTAGGGCATTTGGGATCGGGATCTGTGCAGGCCAGAAGGAAGTACCTATAAATGCAAACAGAAGGATTGATAATAGATCCAAAACACAATTATGAGTTACGGAATAAGAATTTTACATACCAGTTTGCTTTTCCTCCATTGGTGATCCACATTTTCTGACCATTGATCACATACTCGTCTCCTTTCTTAACAGCCCGGGTCTTTATCCCAGCCACATCAGAGCCAGCTCCCGGCTCGGTCACACAGTATGCCTGTCGACACAGTCACATTTTGATAAGCACAAGCGGATATCGATGTACTACTAAAGGGCATACTTCATAAATCATAAAAATATTAATGATTAGAAAAACTATGACACACTTACACACATTAGTGGTTCTTCTGCCATTCTGCCCAAATATTTCTTCTTCTGGGCATCATTACCAGCAATAATGACGGGCATTTGCTGCATGGAAAAAAAAAAATCACATTCAAATTTAACTTACAACAATAAATTCTGGCATGCACAAATGACCATTTCATTTAAATATTAAATGATGCACACTTTCATAAAACTGCACTTACTCCCAGAGAGTTTGCCTCAATGGCTGTCTGTACCCCAGTGCAGCCAAAGGCTAGTTCTTCTGTGATGAGACAGGAATCAAATATGCCCAGACCCATACCACCTGAAATGTATAGCAAAATGCAACATGATCAGAATTAAAGGAATGTTTGTCTTCATGTTGTACCAAACTCCTATGTCTTACTTTCTTCCATTACACACAAAATGTACATTTGTAAAGTATATCTTGGGTACGCTTTTCAATACCATGAAAAGAAGGAAGCAGCCTTAGACGTTACACCTATTGAGTGTTGGTTGAGCATCTGATGCATTAGGCACACAAAATAGCAAACACTTTGAGAACTTTGAAGTTGTCATCTCCTTTCCGGGAGATGTGCGTGTCCCATCCCATTCTTTGACGGCCCACTTGGAAACAAAGCCTTGAGGCCAAACTGCCTCACAAAAGAAGAAAGCTGCCGTGTTTACAACTATGACAATGAGCGCTTGTCAGGATCAATTAAAACCTGGATTTTCAAAGGTATGTGAAGTTCATAGCATAGTCTCTTGACCACTGAAGACGACATTCTTGATTAATGATTGGTTGCACGCCGGTCTGTTATTGTAGGGACATCGACTTTACATTTTCACACCCCTAAACAGGACTCTGAACAGAACAAACTGTGATTGCTTTACAGTCAAATGGCCAATGAAAACTGCAATGGGGTCCAGACCTTCTGCCATCAGTCTGAAGGTCTTGCTACGTGAGACTAGACGGTGCCAAGCTCTAAAATGACATAAAATACACCATAAAAGGGTTTCGCATGACTTTTGTGCCTCATTTAATCTATTAACATCCTAAATGTCAGTCTGTTCCCAAGTTTTCTTATGGTTTCAGTAGGGATGCACGATATTGGTTTTTACCGATATGCCAATATTTTTAAACTCATTTGGGCCGATACCGATATATTTCCTTTTGTTTGGGAACACCAAGTCTTGGGTGTGCTGATGCGATTTCTCCTCTCTGCTCGGCTCGTTCGCGAACGACACATCACTACGCTGCACGTGCTTACCGTTTACTCTATCATACACCGAACGCGTCATTCTGTACATGTTTTCACAGATTAAATGCAGCGATCCAAAAGAGTGAATCTAATCATCATACAGACAAAACTTTGCTTCAAGAATGAGCCACACTGCTGATGTGATCTAATCACTAGCACTTTTTACTTTACTTTTAGTCATTTAGCAGACGCTTTTATCCAAAGCGACTTACAAATAAGAAAAAGTAATGAAAACGCTATAAATACATATATATACACACATACACACATTTAAGAAAATTAAATAGAAATGACAAATGCATACAATTCAAAACTAAAACATTTAAATGAAAAGGTCTTTACACTCTTCGGTCTTCACACGACCGCTTCCGCGGTAAACTAAGCTTCTTTTTAATTCGTTTAACAAAACTCAAATTGACTAGCACACACTGAGCATGTGAATTAACATATTCCTCTTATCGGCAAGACATATCGGCATCATTTTTCATATCGGGCCGATGCCGATATTTACATTTAAAGCCATTATCGGCCGAATCCGATATCAGTCCGATAATATCGTGCATGCCTAGGTTTCAGATATGATTTTGTAAAGTACAAGTCATATGGACTACTTTTATGATACTTTTATGGTATAATTGCATAGAAACAAGCAATCAGTAGTACATTATTCAAATGTCTCCTTTTATGTTTCATGACAGAAAGTAAGTCATACAGGTTTTAGAATTACATGAAGGTGAAGAAATGATGACAGAATAAACATTTTTGGGCATCAGTCTTTAAAGTACCTACCACAGTCCTCTGGAATATGTCCATTAATTAGACCCAACTCCCATGCTCTCTTAATGAGAGGAAATGGATACTGCAAAGAGGAAATCAAGAGTTTACTTTTTCCCCCCTCAAATCTAAAAATATATAAATGCAAGATGGTGGACACATGGATTTTAAAAAACCCACTTCACCACTTTTGTCATATGACGGGGCAGCTGGGACAATCTCCTCCCGTGAAAACTTTCTTGCCAACTCCTGGAACTCTTTCTGCTGGTCAGTTAGTTCTGTTAAATTGAGGAATAATGTGTTTGGATGAATTAACAATGCCTTGGTTTTTTGAAAACACAGTGAGCAGAGGATGATAATACATACCAAAGCTGAAGCCTCCAAGAGATTCTTTCAATGCAGCAGTAGCTGCTCTGGCACTAGCTTGAGGTCCAGTACTCTGAAACCTAAGTCCAGCCTGAAAACCTGCCCTCAAAACCTGTTGAACAATGATTAAATACACATTTATGCACTGACATAACAGTTTTAAAGATTTACCAGTGCAGATAATGTCCCTACAGCTAACAAGGAAATGATTAAAATAATAAATAGACAAACCTACCTATATACAACATTATTGCACTTAATCACTTTTATTTTGTTTTAATTGTATAAAATAACATTTATAAAATCGCATAAAGAATGAGTATGTCACACTATATTTATTTACATACAGTATGACAAGATAAGGTTGTTTATAGACAGGGTTATAATAGTCAAAATGAATCTACAAGCAGGAGAAGAGCTGAAACTTTCTTAACTTTACCAATTAACTCATCACAATTAGGAAAACTAAGTACATACGTTAACTCTAGATGCAATGATTTTCTCACCAACTGTGTAGACTCACGTTAGCTGTTGGAATTCAGCAAATTTAACTACCAAGCGCAAGGCTAGCTTTCTCTTCATTTGAGATAAATACAATTGCGAGTATGTGCAAAATAAAAACTGTTCAACAATTACGTCAATAGAAATGCGTGCTTACCTTATTAAAAATCATCGTTATTTCTTAGTGACAATGCTCAGATCCTTCAATGTCCTTACAATGTTCACCCCAGAAAACATGAAGTACTAACCAATCATCGGCCTCTGTTTTATCACGTGATTAAGCACCGTCGCTCTAGTGACTTTTGCCCTACTTTTATTATACAACCCCAAATATGATGAAAATATTACATCTGGTTATCCATATTTACTTCAAAAACATCAAGAACATTAGTCAAATTAAAGAAAATCGTGTCTTTAATGAACGAATTCATATTTTGCTTTAAAAAATGCAAACCTTGCTTCAACCTTCTTTTATGTTTTTCTGGGAAACAGCCCACTGACTAGAAATGAGCAGTGTTGGGGAAAGTTACTTTTAAAAGTAATGCATTACAATATTGCGTTACTCCATAAAAAAGTAACTAATTGCGTTACTTGGTTACTTTTTATGGAAAGTAATGCGTTACGTTACTTTAGCGGTACTTTTTAAATCTGGACAGGGCTTGCTTGTTTGTTTTTAAAATAAACAAAGTTATATTTTTGGCAAATATAAAAGCCTTTTCACACCAAAAGTGAAATGAATAAGCCTCAGGCTGAAGGGAAAGTACATTTACGTCCGTACAGTAGAATGCAGAAGAAGACATTTCAACACACTTCAGCAATAAAAACACACACAAATGTTGTCTAGAGTAATTTTTGCTTAACTGGATCATCGAAGGTCAGAAGCAAAGACATTGGTTAATAGAATGGGATTAAATACATAAAGGATATTTGTGATGTTTAGCATTTAATTATTGCAGGTTTGCGTCATATTCTGAGTTGCATTATTTTTTATTCATTTTGAGGAATACTGAATCTGTGGGGGGTTTTTTTGTGAGTGAGATAATGCATATTCATATTTATTTTAGAACTACAGTAACATCTGATTTCTCTCAACATGGGGACAGGAGAGCCGTCAATCAATAAATTGGAAAAAAAGTAACTTGCGTTACTTATTTGAAAAAGTAACTCAGATATTCTCTTGTAAATTAAAAAGTAATGCGTTACTTTACTAGTTACTTGAAACAAGTAATCTGATTACGTAATTCGCGTTACTTGTAATGCGTTACCCCCAACACTGGAAATGAGCAATTCATTCAAAGAGAATAATACTTATTCATTAATGCTATCAATTATTAAAGAATGTATTTATAAACTTGACAAATAAAACTGTATTTATAAAACATGTAGGCCTATTATAGAGGATGGAAAAGGTAGGATTTTTGAAAAGAAACCTCATGATTTAAAATAAAAAATGTAAATACTAAATACTAAGAAGTAAAATATAATGTATAATGTTCATAATCAAAATCAAAATAAGCAAAAATAAAATCGACATTTTCAGTTGTATTCAATTTGAAGTTTTATTCCATTTTAAATAAGAGTAGTGTAACATGCAGTGTATCCAGTAGAGGGGGAATGAGTAAACACACATGGGCGGATATCGCCCTTTAGACCGGTGGAGGAGATACATAGCTGTCTTGACAGATGCCACTATCCGAGAGAAAGCTCTGACGGGAGTAACAATGCTCAGCTGTATCTAGACCTTTTGTCGTACGGTTCGTTTATTACACCGGATCTCAGTAAAAGTGGACAAACCGGGAAAGCACATGTGAGGGTAATGCTCGCTGACGGCCGAACTGCTACAGTGTTGGTGTTGACATCCTCAGCTAACGTTAGCTCTCGGCTAGCGCACTCAAACTTGAGGAGGAGATGTCTCCAGACGACAACCCTCACACCCTCCTGGGAAGGATACGGTTTTTAAACAAGTGCAGTGAGTGTTTCCGAAAAAGTGAAGCTCTGCCGGAGTCCCTGTGTTACGTGCCGAAAGAGGTTTGCTACAAAATCTGTAAGGACTCGTCGTCGGGCTCCGCTTCCGCGTCTTCGTCAACAGCTGGCAACTCAGGAGGCAAGAGTGTGGTGTCGGTGTGGGAAAGCCCACATCAGGCTCCACACAAGAAATTATGCAAGTGTAACATCGAACCCAAAAAAGGCACATGTATACGGACAACAGGGGAAGAGTACTGCAACAGCCACGGCCTGTGGGTCAAAATAAGCAAGGTATGCACTATCTGTATGGGCTGTTGTCGGGAACTGGTGTCTGAAGGTATTTGGATTGATCTGCTGTATCATTATTGCTCTCTGAATACACAGGACTTCCTGGTCCGTAATGTGTGTGTGGCTCTCAGAATTTTCCACTCTTCTGATCAATGGACATTCAAATGTGAGTCAGCCTGTTTTGTTTGTCACTGTGATTGTTTGACTGTTCTGTCCATCACAGGAGCAGCTGGAGGAGTATCGTGCTGGTCTGGCTCTGGACATAGAGGAGGGCTGGATCCTGGTGTGTAAACACACAGAAGGTGGAGACAGGCTTGTGCCGGTGGAATCTCCCGACACTGTCAGCCGCCAGCAGCAGCTGTTTGGTTATGACCACAAGCCATGTAGCAGGTCTGTGTCACCCACCATTGGCCACCATTCTCTAATTCACTGATCCATGATGATGATGATGATGATGATGCATTTATATAGCGCTGTAGTGTGTATTGTTGTACACCCAAACATGATGTACATAACTTCAGTTTATTGAACTGTAAAATTGTGAGCAACATGTTGGGAGCCAAACGTTCAAAAGTCTGTGGTCAGTTTTTTTTTTGTAAAGGAATTACTACTTTTATTCAGTAAGGATTGAACAAATTATCATTAAAGACATCGTTAAAGACATTTATAATCTTACATAAGATTTCTGTTTCAAAAGAATCCTGTTCTTTTGAACTGTCAAATGGAAAAGGATCATGGTTTCCACAAAAGTATTAAACTGTTTTGAATATTGTCGATAATAAGAAATGTGTCTTGAGCTCCCAATATGGCATATTAAAATGATTTCTGAAGGATCATTTGACACTTGATCATGTGACACTGGAGTAATAGCTGCTGAAAATTCAGCTTTGCCAACCCAGGAATACATTTAAATATATTTTAAAATATTAATAAAACAGCTATTTTTAATTGAAATAATATTTTACAACATTACTGTTTTACTAAATTTGATTGATTGATTGATGCAGGCTTGGTGAGCATAAAAGGCTTTAAAAAAATAGACCACAAATCTTTAAAGGGGTCATATGATGCGATTTCAAGTTTTCCTTTCTCTTTGGAGTGTTACAAGCTGATTGTGCATTGATAAGATCCCTGAAGTTGCAAAGACTAAAGTCTCAAAACCAAAGAGATATTCTTTATCAAAGTTAAGACTCTGCCACGCCCCCCTAAAACAGCTCATTCAGCTCATGCTGGTGTTCGGCCAATCACAATGCACTGGGTCAGCTGGCCAATCAGAGCAGACTGCTCTTGTCGGAAGGAGGGACTTTGTAGAAAATGAAGCGTTTGAGAGAGGCGGGGCATAGAGGACCTACAATAATGTACAGTATTTGAAAAATAATGTGTTTTTTGAACATTAAAGCATGTCAACATATTCTGTTACACCAAATACACAAAATAATGGTCTTTAAAAAAGCATCATATGACCCCTTTAAAAAATTGTATTTGCTTTATTATAGCAGAAAATAGTTTTGCAGTCTTAAGGTAACACCTCAGTCAGTTATTTTAAAGTGCCCCATTATGCCTTTTTAAATAGTACCTTTCATGCAGTGTGTCATGTAGCTGTATGTGAACATAAACTATCTGCAAAGTTGTGAAGCCGACAGTGCATGATAAATAAAGTTATTGTCTATCAAAAAAAAAAAAAGAGTCGTCAGGAATTTGAATCTTATTCTGTTACGGCTCTGCGTCACGAAGTAATACATTTGCAAAATGTCTGCCCACGTTCTAAGTTACGTCGCCAACTTGCCCACCCACAAACAGTCAAATTTCCCTGTGGTTACCATCATGTCGAGAAGACGCTGTATACTACGCTGTGAGAGTAAATTTGTTTTATCACATCTTATAATTACCACAAACTTGTTAACACTTGACACTTACCACTGAGAAACATCCTGCTCCAGTCATGCTTGCGAATCAGTTTCTTGTCGATCAGCCAGTTCAACCGTTTCATCATCAGACTTGGGCTCGAATTGGTAAGGTACAATCCATACCATATTTTCTATGTATTGACAAGTCTCCAGGGCTGTCATTCCGTCATGGTAATGGGCGTTTCGTTTCCGTGGTAGACCAATCCAGAGCCAATATCTCTACAGCTCTGGACCAATCACAAAGGACTGCACCATCTGACCAATCACAGCAGTGAGGGCTCACGGAAAGGAGAGGTTTAGAGAGACTAATTCTTTGAACTGCTTTGCACAAGTCATTTACGAATTAAATCTATTTTTTGTGAAAACTAATGTGTTTTTTGACCTTGCATGCATGTAAACCTGTTTTAGGAGACTCATAAAACAATATTAGCAACCTTAAAAATGGCTATAATAGAGGAACTTTAAATATAAGCTGCCACTGAAATTTAACTGGGCGGTCTGACATATTCAGCTTAGTACTTGAATTCCCAGTCTGCGTGAAATTTATATTAAGATATTAAAGTGTTGATTGTAAATAACTGTATCCTGACAATTCAATGAATGTAAAGTACCAACATTTTTCCTAAATGGTTTTGTAGGTGGGAGCAGGTGATGGATGTGGAAAACTCCTTACACATGGGTGCCAAACCCAAGGTGGCAGAGCCGGACGAGGTCGCTGTTCGCAAACTGAGGTGAGTGGATGCTTTGACACAAAAATGTAAAGGAAAAAATCTGCATGTTTGCACCACATGGCTTGCATTTGGTGAACAAGAGTCGAATTAATATATTCTAATATTAAGAAGCAGTTGTCAAAATATTTTGTTCCTAAGAAATAATGGTAATAACAAAATATTATTCCAAACTAAGTTTCTTTCTTTTTATAAGGCGTTTTTCTTCATTATGATATCAGAAAATGTAAAACATGCTTATCATAGCATGTACTTTATGAATTGCTTTTTCTTTTCTTTTTTTGAATAAATGAATAGATCTGGGGGGGGGAAATGAGCATGATTTTATTGACCCAGATCTTCCTAATCCTTTGATGGACTGTATGCAAACTCTGTCTTCCAGGTATGTACCTCCTACATGGACGTTTGAATGTGATGAGGACCTAGTACACTACTTCTATGACCACATTGGGAAAGAAGATGAAAACCTTGGCAGCGTGAAGCAATGCGTGACCAGCATTGATGTGTCTTCTAGTTCGGTATGTGAGGGCTTAGTATTATTCTATATTATATTGAAGAGCAGAGAGCCATGAACATATCAGGTGTTCTAGACTAGTAAGTGAGTTTTTCTGTTTGAAGGAGGACCCCAGTGGTGGCGCAAGCTGCCTGACAGATGGAGACACTGAGACATTCTGGGAGAGTGATGGCATGCAGGGACAGCACTGGATCCGGCTGCACATGAAGAGAGGCACTGTGGTCAAGTAAGGGCAGCTCATCTGCTAGTCACCTTTGGGACTGACTCTCTGAACTGTCATTTTGCAAGTGAAATCAGATCTGATCATTCAGATTGAGACACATTCCACAAAATCAGATTTTAATTTCATTTCAAACCTTGTGCTTTTTTTTTTGCTAATCAGACTGCAGAAAACTGCGCCAGATTTCATTCAGATTAAAAAAGCTGATCAGAAGCAAAATAAACTATTTAGTTTTCTCTTCTTTTAGCAAACTGATATTAACAGTGGACTCGACAGATGATAACTACATGCCCAAAAGAGTGACTGTATATGGTGGAGAGGGAGATAATCTCAAGAAATACAGTGATGTATCAATAGATGAGTAAGTAATTTTTTTATTATTATTATTTAAAGCCTAACAAACATTTTTGGTGCAATATTTTGTTTGGAAAATGTGCTTGGGATATTTTCTTTTAAAATAAATGTCACTTTGCTATTTTGTTATCTAATGTGATAACATTCATGCATTTTTAAGTGTGGTTTAAAGGTCTAATTAATTTTTGGGGCCAATTACCATTTTATATGTATAAGCTGCTGTAGAAGCACTATTTTGAAGTTATAAATATGTAGAGGTTATATAAGATTCTGAATATTTTGGGATGCACTAAAGGCAGTAGTAAGAGGTAAAATGATATCCATTACATCTAATTTAAAGCTGCAGTCTGTAACTTTTGGCGCTCTAGCGGTTAATAAACAGAACTGCGTGCGTCTTGCGGAAGAACAATGTAGCCGGAGCTACTTCTCTCTGTTTATGTCTATGAATCACTCTACTGTAGTGATTCAGGACAAGCCAAAAACACGGTTCATGTTCGATCATTTGGCCCCAACTTTATTAAAGGCTTATAGTTGGGTAGTACAAAAAAGGGAAATCTTACCTTCCTGGAGAGAAGCGATTATCTCGGTCATTTTAAAGGAGTTGGAATGTGGTAACTATCGGCCAATTAATGTTCTAAATGTTGTCTATAAGTTATTTAGCTCCATTTTAGCAAGAAGATTAGAAAAGATTCTCCCAGACCTCATTCATTTAGATCAAACAGGCTTTATTTGTCAAAGGCAAGCATCGGACTACATCAGAAGAACTTTACATATTCTTAGTTTCATTTCAATTCATAATGTGGAAGCTGCACTATTGAGTTTAGATGCAGAGAAAGCCTTTGACTCCGTGAGATGGAGTTTGCTAAAGGTATTAGCAAAATTTGGATTTCACAAGAATTTTACTGGAATGATTAGAACATTATATGATAAGCCTTATGCAAGGATTAAAATTAATGGAGGTTTATCAGATCCATTTAAATTAGAGCGGGACACAAGACAGGGGTGCCCCATTTCACCACTTCTTTTTGCCTTATTTATTGAAGCATTGAGCCAATGCATTAGGCAAAACCAATCAATTAAAGGGATGGATATGGGGTCCGGAGAGCATAAATTAGCCCTCTTTGCCGACGATATATTGATGTGCTAACCTGCAAAGTCACTTCCTATACTATTTAACCTCCTTAAGTGTTAACATTTAATTATGATCCACCTAGACAAATTAAAGAGAAATATAATTTAAAATGGGATACAAAATCAATTAATTATTTAGGAGTAAATTTGTCTGGAGACCATTCAACATTATTTGATTTAAATGACGGTCCCTTGAATAAAATAAATAAAATCTGATTTAGTACGTTGGAACCTTATTCCTTTGTATAGTCTAAGTTCCAAAGCTGATTCAGTGCGGATGATCATTCTTCCAAAATTATTGTACTTATATCAGACACTTCCAGTAGAAATTTACAGTCAACAATTTACAGAATGGAATAAATTATTATCTAGATTTTTATGGCAGGGTAAAAAATACGATTTAAAACATTACTATTAAGTAAAGAAAAAGGTGGGTTAGGCCTTCCATGCTTACAACAATAATATTATGAGGCCCAATTAAGGCTATTAGTCTGCTGGAGTAGTCCAATATATTCAGCAAGATGAATTGAAATAGAAAGAGGGATGATGGAAGAGTCTCAGTTATCTCCCCTGATTGCTGATAACAAACTAAGAAGTATAATGATTAAGGAAACAAACCCATGGATCAATTTATTACTTAAAATTTGGCATCAAGCAAAGAAAATAGGTGGTTTGGAAGATGCATCGAATATATTAAGATGGTGTGCCTTTGATACTGATTTTGTCCCAAACAGAATACATGACCGATTTCGAATCTGGGCTAAGCTAGGAATTTCAAATTATTACACATTTTTCAACAAGGGCAAAATCCAAAGCTTTGAATCACTAAAGGGAAAATATGGGCTTAATCAAAATGACATCTATAGAAATCTTCAAGTGAGGCACTATATTGAATGTAATATCAAACCAGAAATATTGAAAATCACTGAGACAGGCTCAATCATGTAATAAGATTATTTCAAAATAATGTAATGGATTTCTCCAAACTGTACCCGAAAACACATTTTATGTTAGAGACAAATGGAAGAGAATTTTAATGGCTCAGATGAGGATTGGGAGAAAATTTGTAAAACACAGTGGAAGTCTACAAGCTCAGCCATGTGGAGAGAATTTTGTTGGAAGAATGTTATTAGGTTCTTTATTACACCATCACAGAAAAAACACCAAGGGAAGGGTACTACGTGCTGGAGATTATGTGGGAAAAAGGAAGCGAACCACTACCATATTTTTGGGGGGTGTCAGAAATTAACCCCATATTGGCAAGAGAATAAAAGGAATCTGGAAGCTGCTTTTGAAGTAGAGATTGTTTTTAATTGTGAATCTCTATATTTGGGTAATAAACTAGTAAAAAAGTGATTACTAAAAAATGGCTAAAGCCAGAGTCACCCACAGTTGAAGAGTGGATTGATACAATACACATTATATATGTGATGGAAATCTTTTTCATTAAAGGGGTCATATGATGCAATTTAAATTTTTCCTTTCTCTTTGGAGTGTTACAAGCTCTTGGTGCATAAAGAAGATCTGTAAAGTTGCAAAGACTAAAGTCTCAAATCCAAAGAGATATTCCTTATGAAAGTTAAGAGTCAACCACGCCTACCTAAAACGGCTCGTTCTAACACGCCCCCACATACCTACGTCACTATCTGGAAAGATTTGCATAACGCCGCCCAAATGTTCACGCAAAGAAAGAAGGCGTAACTTTTATTCTCGCTGTAGTATTGTTGTTGCCGCCGCCATGTCGTGAAGGCGCCTGTGTGTTTCATTGTAAAAGCGAAACTACTTTGTTTGGCCTTCCAAAAGAGGACGATGATCCATGCTGGTTGCTGAGGAAATACAACAACTTTGCGCTGTGGATCACCGGATCGGCTTTCACCATGGACGAAGCGGAGTCCAGCCCGGGGTCGTCACATGTGGTTGCCGCATGCCTCCTTTGTCGAATCCACCGGCCGCGCCATTCTCAAGCCCGTTGCCTCTGCTCACTCTAGCTGTCCGGCCGTTCCTCACGCTAGCCCCCGGCCTCTGCTCACTCTAGGCAGTCGCCGCTCACTCTAGGCTGCCGTGTGTGACGCTGTGTTGGAAGAATGTTATTAGGTTCTTTATTACACAATCACAGAAAAAACACCAAGGGAAGGGTACTAGCTGCTGGAGATTATGTGGGGAAAAGGAAGCTAACCACTATCATATCTTTTGGGGGTGTCAGAAATTAATCCCATATTGGCAAGAGATTAAAAGGAATCTGGAAGCTGTTTTTGAAGTAGAGATTGTTTTTAATTGTGAATCTCTATATTTGGGTAATTTAAATTTACATGGGTGGAACAATAAGGATAAGAAACTGTTGTTAATTCTTCTGGCGGCTAGTAAAAAAGTAATTACTAAAAAATGGCTAAAGCCAGAGTCACCCACAGTTGAAGAGTGGATTGATACAATACACATTATATATGTGATGGAAATCTTTTTCATTAAAGGGGTCATATGATGCAATTTAAATTTTTCCTTTCTCTTTGGAGTGTTACAAGCTCTTGGTGCATAAAGAAGATCTGTAAAGTTGCAAAGACTAAAGTCTCAAATCCAAAGAGATATTCCTTATGAAAGTTAAGAGTCAACCACGCCTACCTAAAACGGCTCGTTCTAACACGCCCCCACATACCTACGTCACTATCTGGAAAGATTTGCATAACGCCGCCCAAATGTTCACGCAAAGAAAGAAGGCGTAACTTTTATTCTCGCTGTAGTATTGTTGTTGCCGCCGCCATGTCGTGAAGGCGCCTGTGTGTTTCATTGTAAAAGCGAAACTACTTTGTTTGGCCTTCCAAAAGAGGACGATGATCCATGCTGGTTGCTGAGGAAATACAACAACTTTGCGCTGTGGATCACCGGATCGGCTTTCACCATGGACGAAGCGGAGTCCAGCCCGGGGTCGTCACATGTGGTTGCCGCATGCCTCCTTTGTCGAATCCACCGGCCGCGCCATTCTCAAGCCCGTTGCCTCTGCTCACTCTAGCTGTCCGGCCGTTCCTCACGCTAGCCCCCGGCCTCTGCTCACTCTAGGCAGTCGCCGCTCACTCTAGGCTGCCGTGTGTGACGCTGTGTTTCGTTGTGAAAGCGAAACTACTTTATTTGGCTTTCCAAAAATGGACACAACTAGAAATCAGTCGTTAAGTTGTATTTACAATAGGGCTGCACGTTAAATATCGCACGAAAAAAGTTCAGTAAAGCCGGTTCTGTAATCAGCGGTAAATCTCTACACGTGCGTGCTTTCACATGGAGCAGCATTAACTACACAGAGCCATTGTTCACAGACAAGCTGCGCAAAACATGCCCTAATTTACAACACTGTTCCAGAAAACTTCAACCCAAATAAGTCTGGAGACATGCTTGGCCAATCCATCACCTTTACCCTCAGCTTCTTTAGCAAGGTAGTGGTCGTCTTGGAGGTGTGTTTGGGGTCTTTATCGTGTTGGAATACTGCCCTGCGGCCCAGTCTCCGAAGGGAGGGGATCATGCTCTGGTTCAGTATGTCACTGTACATGTTGGCATTCATGGTTCCCTCAATGAACTGTAGCTCCCCAGTGCCGGCAGCACTCATGCAGCCCCAGACCATGACACTCCCACCACCATGCTTGACTGTAGGCAAGACACATTTGTCTTTGTACTCCTCACCTGGTTGCCGCCACACATGCTTGACACCATCTGAACCAAATAAGTTTATCTTGGTCTCATCAGACCACAGGACATGGTTCCAATAATCCATGTCCTTAGTCTGCTTGTCTTCAGCAAACTGTTTGCGGGCTT